TTGTACAGCTGTCAGCAAGGGGAAGAATGAACAACTACCACAGACATTTTATGGCAGAATCAAGGACAAAAATTCTGTTCTCAAGAGTAGCCTTCAGTTACTTACTCAGTATTCACATTAAATCCTTCCTTCTCATTCCCAAATTCCTTGCTTATTCAAAACCCTCATGCAAGTAACACAATACAAAAATCAGGATTCTTATAATCTTATTTATCACAATACTGATTCAATCTAAACAGTGCCTAGTCTGCAGCTAAAGCAGAACAGCTCAGGTACTGTTCCCAGAAAAGAAAGAGGAGAAGGGCCAAGGGGGAAGAAAAGGAACAAAACGTGATAACGTGATAAAAGTTCTATAATATGCATTTGTATGAGGACAAAAGGAGACAACTGGGATTGCAGGTAGAGCTTTAAGCTTGGAATTTCCTAACTTTTCTCAACGTTGTTACCATGATACTGTTTTGATATAGGAATCTAACATGAAAAACTTTGCATGAAACATCTTATATGAAATGGGAAAGGAAATATTACATTATATGGAATAAAATGCATCCGAGTGCCGAGAGGGCTGGACAATGCTAGGATGCCAAATTCAGAGCGACTTGAACAGGTGGGAAAGGAAGGTCACACCTATGTCAGGAGCTTCAACTAGAGCAGTATCTTACATTTTAGAACAGAATAAACTCATACAATAACATATGCAGAGGGATTACTGAATAGAAAGCACATTCACAGAAAAGGAGCCGAGATCCCTTCTGAAACTTTCTGAGAAATTAAACAGGAGTCAGCAGTGGATCTTTTTGCAACAATAAAGACTAACTTCACTATCTTATCAGATCAAGTAAAATTGTTATTCTCCTCTATTTGGCTCTGGAGAATGATTGCCTACTTTTGGACTCAATATAAAACACTAACATACTACAGGAAGTTTAGTGGAAGACCACCAAGATGATTAGAGCTAAATTTGTTCAGTCTCCAGCAGAGAAGGCTGAGGCAGGACTGCGATGCTGATAGAAAAGACAAAGCTGAACTCTTCACTGTACACAGTAAAAGGATGAGGGGCACTGGACGTGATTTATAAAAAAAAGAAAACTCCAATGTAACATAGGAAAACTTTCAGAGCAAACACTTAAGAAGGGCCCAGAAGGAACAGAATTTCCATCCTTACAGATATTCAGAATGCAATTAAAAATGGATATGAGTCTGAGCAACTGTATCTAGCTTTGATAGTTGGCCCTTCCTTAAGCTGGGGTTTGAATCAGGTAGTTGCCAGACCTCCCACTGAGCCTAAATTCCTCTGTGATTCCAGCATTGCAGAAGTTGGGTTCAGGTACCCAAATCAGGATTGAACTTCTCTGAGTGAAGAAAGATCTGAGAAGGTGTCCAAATAAACAATTCATCCCCTCTTGTTAAAGTGTTCCTTAGTACTTATTAATATTTTGGGTCAAAAAGGACTCTGCAAATACAGAAGAAACTAAAAATACATGCAAATAGTATGAAACATAGATTAAAAGGAATGCAGGCTTTCAGTATAGCCAAAAATTGTTTTCAGGTTAAGTTCTACAAAGAGAAATACTAATTGCAGATTGCTGTAATTTTAAGGACTACTCCCCTAAAAAACATCAGCTGCAGCACACGTTTTTGTTATCAAAAAAGCCCAGAGCTAAACTCCTAAAAGCTTTACTTAAAAGCACATCATGTAGATTATCTTTTCCTCTCTTAGCAAGATCACTGTTAACCAGTTAGCAAAGATTAATTAAGAATATAAAGGGGTCACCTGGGATGTCCTAATGCTAGTTCACCTAATTTAATTTTCACCAAAATGTATTGAGACTACTAAATATATGGTGGTTTTCCTAAGTGCTTCATGTCAAATCTCACCTGCAGCATCTAAAAAAGCCAAAACAGTCTCCGTTTCTAAGAACAAGCAGTAAAAAAACCTGCTGATAAGGCAGCAACACAGATTAAAGTGTTCTCAGTCTGTGATTTGATGTTTTCTGTTGTAAGTCCTGTCAAACTTACTACAAGACCATGGACTCAAGGTGAGCCTGACATCTTGAAAATATTACAGACGATGCTATAATTTAGAAGGTAAAAAACTCTGTAGAAAGAACCTTAAAGACTCAAAAAATATGAAGATAAGCAAGGAAGTTTTGCTAACAGTTTCCAGTTGTTGCAAATAGTAATTATGTTCAAGGAAAACTGCATCAGGACTAGTATTAGTAGCTCAATAAAAATGCTAAACTGAGTCTGGAACAGGAAATTATTTATTCCATAAAAGAGTCAACCACCTCAACAATTTACAACCCCAAAAGCAAATAGAAATGAAAGGAATAAACAATATTTTTGAGAAGTGCAGGAGAGAATTGTTTAGTACAAAAGGTAGAGGTAGTCAGTGCTCAATAAATGGTTTGTTTGTTTGGTGTATAATAATGATGCATTATTCTTACTGCTGGCAAAATAGATTTTATTTAAACCTACAGTTGCTAAATATTACTAAATTGTTAGGACAGAAATTAATTGCATTGTGAACTGATCTATATTTTAAATCAATGGACAAGTACTTCTTAGTCAAGGTGAGCACATTAAACTTTCTGACATAAAAGATAAGTCTACTGTAGCAGAATAAATAGACCAAAAGATGTCACCATACAGTAAACTAACACCAAAAGCTACCACAGTATTTTGGAACTCCCACATCAACAGGTTGTCCTGCCCCAAGAGATGGCAAGTATAGGAAGTATGTGACACTCCTTTCATTCAGTGAGGATGCCCCTTCCCAGACAATTGTGGTAGCAAAGAAGAGATGCTATCTTTCAAGTCAGTGGTTCCTGGAAGGGGGAACATTTTTGTGTGAGAATATATGATCCATCTAGTTTGCATGTTCTACTAGTTTTGGCTGTGTTCCACACTAAAGGGCAGGTAGCATCCTTCACATGCATCCAGAGTGACTAAAGAGATCAGACAGCAGGGCAAAATGAAGGGGAAATTACAAGACCCAAGAAAGGGCTAGGAATTTAAAGTATCAATAGTGTCAAAGCATTGGGTTATTGCAATATTTTTTGTTTTGGTACCAGTACCAAGCAAAGCTGAAAACACACTGCTTCTCACTGCAAAAAGGCAAAAGCAGGACAGCCAGCTGAAGGGACAAAAGACTGTGGATCCAGAATATAAAAAGCTTCTTCATCTGTCACATTTTCTGTTTCCCTATCACAGCATTTTAATCACATTTTGTGTTACTGGAATTTTGCAAAAATAAATTAAGCAAAATTGAGCTGAGGGTGGATGATATGTACTATAGCAGACTGAAAAGCTGTCAAGAATGCCAGTTAAGAATCAGGGAGGGTTATCTGAGCCCAGCAGCCAGTGTCAACAATTAAACTGATTCTAGTAACATTTTTCACAAAAAAAAAAAGAATTTCCTTATTTCTAGTCATAAAACTTAAAAGTATTTCCTTTTCTGTAATGTATTAAAATTTGAACTTTGAAAGTAGCAGTGGATGTGGTCACACAGGTGAAGAGAGACAAAAGCAAAAATTCAGTGCACTTTCAAAACCAAGTTTCAATTTCTTCTGCAGTAGTTAGTACGTATTTGCCTACAAAAACAGTACAGGAAGTTTAATTATCTTCTGAAGATTTACTGTGGAAAATCTGGGAACTAGAGCCAGGCATTTAAGAGTAAATACAAGATTTCAGACCAGATTTAAGTGAATGTCTGCACACATTCCTAATTACCAATTTGCTACCAATGGTCCTGTAACACCATCAACATTTTAAAGGTTCAGAATTCATCATAAACATTTATGAAATTCTTTTCACAAGATCACACCAAGGAGGTTTAAATACATATTAGCATTCAAGCACAACAACAAGGGCAAAAAAAAGTCATAAAGCTATCAAAACCACAGCAAACGTGGGCAATTAAGCTTATAAACACTTAAAGATTGCAAATGTATGTGCATAAATTTACAATACAACATTGAATACAATATAATATATACAACCCTGCTACATCCGCACTGAACACAAAGAATATAACAGGAAAGCTGACAACTACTTTTCTCTAAATTCACACAGTCCTCATTTTCTCCTGTACAATACACATGCATTTTTCTATGTAAACGGGTTATGAAAAATTTGGTACATCTCTGATTGTTAAGGACAAATGAAAATATAGTGAATATTTGAAAAGCTGAAAATCCACCAATTCTCCCCATAAAACCCAATATTATTCATTTATTTCATTTATTCAGTTACTATGTAGATTATGCCTCCTTTTTCCAAACATTTCCAGACATTGCAGCTACAGAAGTATTTAATTAATTCTATCTTTGTACTTTGTACAGATTGAAAAAACAATGTACAAAATTGTGGCCTGGCAAAACTATGTATTTTTAATCTCAATAGTGTATTAGCATTTACTACAGCATATTTATTTTTAGATTTGAATCCATCTTTAGTTATTGTACTCAATTGCATACTGCCACTCAAAAAGTACAAACAGTACATTTTTTTCTGAATGTGTCAAGATTCAATAAATGCTACATTTAACAAAAGGAATGGTCTTCCTCAAACTGTCAAAATAGAGAAAATAGCCCTGAAAACCATTTACCACTCACACTGTGTTATTTACACATCTGATGTTCAATCTCCATTTTTAATGCCTAAGTTTTGAAGAGAATTAAGTTCAACAGGCACCTTACCCAAATCTGTCCTGCTGATATCTAAGTGAGTTAAACACAGACATAACACACTGTATTCAGAACACTACATATCAGTTTAAAAGGAGGCACAAGTGTCAGAAAACCTAAACTCTACAGCCAGTGGTACAGCTAAAACATTGCTTAAAAGGTAATTCTGATATAGTTACATGCAAGAAGTATTTAGTAACAAGTTTGATGGTAGTCACACACTGACATTAGCACAGCAACCTAGAAATTAGAAGTTTAAGCTTTGTAATGACCAAATGGCAGTTTTACTCAAATTAATTTCAACTTTGTTACCTTATTCACTTCCATGATTTCCCTTCTCTCTTCACTAGCAAAACGAAGCTGACTTGCAGCACCACGATCATCGTGTTTGGAGCCATCTTCTTCAATGTATGGAATAAGTTGCTGTGAAGAGAAGAAACATGAGCTTAATGAGTAAATAAAATAAAAAAACAAAAACAGGAGATACAGGAGCTACACAGGGTACTACCATTTGCTCCAAAGGTTCAGACTTCCCATGAGGAAGTCACCTCCAACCCAAAGGCCTTGCAATGGCCTCAGTTTGTTCTCTGAGCTTCAAAAAACCATTATCCCACATATTACCATGCCCAGACCTATGCAATTTTGCAACTGCAGGCAGAACCCAGTCCTTACATTTTAAGATGTTTATCAGATGTAACCCTTGAACTCTGTAGGCTGTGATATTAAAATTTCCTACTCCACACTACAAAATGCCACAAACATGAAGCTATTATTATGAAGTATTTCAGTGATATACTAAACATGACTAGCTTTACACAGCTACTTGGTTAATACCCTAATTATAACTTGCCATTTCAGTGGACCTCTGTTTAGCTACTCTTAAGAACAGGCCTACAGTCACCTAAGGAGTTTTGCTGTAAGAATTCTGCACTGTAATCTCCTCAGACATATAGTGCACTATCTTTTTTTGGTAAGCATCTACAAAGCCAAAATCTTTGGTGAAAAAATTTCAAAATTAGTATTACTGAATGTTTCCTTCCTTAAAAACAACACAATTAGAAAGAATCCATAAATATACTGGATACAAAACAAATCCATGTTTCTGTGTCAGAACACTCCAAATCTACTAAAAACTTACTAAAAAATAATTATAAGCTGTAACACTTTATACACATCATACATCCAAAAATGATACAGTCTATTGTTGATTTTTCTGTCCTGAACTGAGAAAATCTAAGTTGATAGCAAAATTACATCCCTGTTCAAATACACATTACAGACAAATTAAATACTAGCAATTGATGCAAATGAACAAGAAGATACTAATGTAAAAGTCTGGGAGCAAGTTGCTCATCGCATGCTTATTATCTCATTAATTAGGCTGTGGTGCAATATTATCACAGAATCACTTAGCTTGGAAAAGACCTTTGAGATCAAGTCCTACACTGCCAGGTCCATCAATAGCCATGTTCCTAAGCACCACATCCACACGCCTTTCAAATACCTCCAGGGATGTCCCAGTGCTTGACAAAATTTTCAGTGAAGAAATTTTTCCTAATATCCAATCTAAACCTCCCCTGGCACAACTTGAGCCCATTCCTTCTTATCCTATTGCTTGTTACTTGGGAGAAAAGACCAACCCCCACCTCACTACAACCTCCTGTCAGGTAATTTCAGATAGTGACAACATCTCCCCTCAGCCTTCTTTTCTCCAGGCTAAACAACTCCAATGCCCTCAACCTCTCGTCATAGATTGTTCTCCAGACCCTTCACCAGCTTTGTTGAGCTCCTCTGGACTTGCTCCAGCACCTTGATGTCTTCTTGTAGGGAAGGGCCCAGAACTGAACTCCGTGGTGTAGCCTCACTAGTGCTGAGTACAGGGGGACAATCACTTCCTTCATCCTGCTGGCCACACAGTTTCTGATACAAAGCATTCAATAGCATTGTTCAGCATTCCGATGGAAAACTTACTTTGATTTAACTAACTGAATACTTAATTTCCTTGCATACAATTATTCTTATTAAGCTTATCAAAATGGACAAAAATTATCACACTAAACTCTGCCATGAAAACGTAGTAAAGGTTAACAACTAACTACATTCATATACCATAAAGGAGAAGTGTAGTTGCCAAATACTTTTGGAAAAAGCTCCTTCTCTCTCTGATGGGAAAATAAGGCACCACTCAAAGTAGAACACTTCCTTTGAAAACCTCTCATCTTTTAGAAAAGCTAGTAGAAAAAACAAAGAAAAGCAAAGATCTACACCTAACACATAAATAAAGCATAAAATTCAATCTATTAAGAGACCTTTGTAGCCACACCTGCTTTGCAATTATCTCATGCCTTGCTATGCTGGTTAGCATTAAGTTGATAAGAATACCTATTACATTGGTAATACACATTGACAAAGCATAAAAAACATTTATACCAATAATAATAGTTAAGAACATTGGTAGAAACTGACTTCTCTTGATGGTTTAAAAAAAAAAGAGATTTGTTGATATTCTTCAAACATGTGGTTAGAATGTCAGTCATGAAACAATATGACTGAAACTATTACTGAAAAGCTGAAACAGGAATTTAAGAAAATTGCTGCAAAGGGGAGTACCACTCCCATTCACCCAAACTAATTAAACATGAGGAGCTAGGCACTCTACTAACTACAGAGCAGAAAAGACTAAGCAAATGAAAGAAAAAAAAAATCCAACTATTGACACAGAACTCTGCTGTGCGTAAAGTATCAGTGAGACTTTGCATTAAAAAAGCTTAAAGGAACAACTCATTTTCTCTGTGGAGGTTTTTTTTCACCCAGGTAAGAGGAAAAAACTGTAAAAAGAAGACCAGCCACATCTCAACCCAACCATATGTGAAAACAAGACATGTCAAAAGCTTTTAAGTGAACACAACTATTGCACACAAGTCAACAAACCATGGAAACATTTTTTTAATTGGGAAATTATCTTTCTCCTTTGCTTGCTCTAAGGTTTCTGAATACCTTTCTCTAAAACACATGGCAGTGACTGCTGACTGGAGTCGGTTAGCAGTGTAGAATGGACTCCTTAATTTCTTTATTCCTACTCAGTGAAGAGATTAAAATATAAAACATAATGCTTAAATGATGAACACTCACTGGACAATCAGAAGTCTGTTAACAGCATTGCCTCAGAATAAGTAATTAAAGAACTTCACCATTCTGGTTAATATAGAGCTGTAGTAACACAAATCATAACACAAAACTGGCTTTAAGAGTATTACTAGGCATTACAAACACCTTAACTTAGAAGTAGAACAATGAAGTTTTGATTTCATTAGGAACAGCATTTTTATTAGGAAAATCCTGCTTCCTGGAAATCTTACACTGCTCGCTTTTCAATCAGCACTGCACATTCAGATTCGGTTGATGTTGGCTCAGCAGTTTAGGAGTAGCTGAGTGAGGGAACTGTGGAGGCACAGACTGATGGCCAGAGCAAGGGAATAAGGCATATTCAGGGAGCTGGGCTGGCAGGTGAGAACTTAAAGTAGACTTTTCCCACTATAAAAACCTCTTTAAAAAAAAACTTGTCTTGACTTTTTTGACTCCTTTTTTCCCTAGTGGAAATAAGTTGGTCAATATACCAAGAAGCCTGGGGGAAATGAGGTCTGGTTTCAAAATTGGATCTCTCCCAACTGGTAAGAACTGTTGATATTACTGTGAAAGTTTCACAATCTTTCAATCAGCTGAAACAGAATTCAGTCCACTGAACAGTTGCAGTCTCATTTAAAACTTTCTAGGAGTCTTTTGCAACTCAGAAAAATGGATAATAGACTAAGCAGAGAGTGGTTATTCTCATATGTAATTTATATATGAATAAAGGTACTTACTTCTATGGGAACAGGATCGAGCCCAGCACAGTTTTCATTGCATTTGTCATAGACCAGTCTCAGTTTTCTGAAGAGTATCGACAGCTGACGGAGATGTTCCTGCAGCTTTCCCAGTCTGTCTTGATATGTTCCAGTATGATAAGTAACACCATTTGGTAACTTACAAAACAAAACCGAAAAACATTAAAAAGATGATGTTAAAAGTTTTTTATCACACAAAATAAACATGCTAAAATAAATCAGAGCAGGGTTTGCACATTTTAAAATAAGACACTCTATCCCCACAGAAATCATCCCATATTTTATCTGCTCATCCTATCTGCAAAATCACTGTTGTTAAACAGCTCCATATATTGTACACTTTGGTCATTGTCAGTCTCTCTGTAACTCTTTTCAGTGTGTGTCTTCAAAACACTTAAGCATGACACTGTTGTTATCTGAGTGTTACACTTTTGAGACTTTGTGTCTCAACCCCAGGTCACAATTCAGAGACACAATCGAAGTGAATACACAGTTAGCAAATTCTAAGTACATATACCTATACCTAAGATAATTACAGAAGGGAACTGCTGGTCATGAAAACACAAAAGGAATGGAAGTGGTTATTTATTTTCTGCTCTCAACAGAAAAACACATGTTTGTATGTTTTCTCAGTAAGTAGCCACAAATAAGGATTATATTCACTTTAATAACAAAAAAGAAATGTCAAAAAGTTCTAGGTAGAATAGTGCAAAAAAAGATAAATGAAAATTCCTCTGAAATTGCTCTCCCCATGTTAACAAAAACAAAGAAACTAAACTGGCATATAAACAGACTTCACTCTTCATAACTCTTCATAAAGGAAAACACAGACATTAAGTGTATTTAGAGTATATTTATTGTGAGAGCAATAACAATCCAGCATTTCTGAATTTTGTCCATCTTCACTTGATGTACAGCAGTAAGCAAATATATTAATAGTAGTATTCACTTCTGCAATCAATCCCCCTTTACAAAGCAGTTTGATAGTTACGTATATAAATGTCCTAAGTTATCTCCTGTGCCTGCACATAATGGCAGCTGGTGGTAAAAACATGGGAAGTTGAGGACCATAAAAAGAGTAAGTTATTTCTCACCTGCATGTTCCTCAGTAACTGGAAGATTTCCATAGTTCGAAACACAATGTCCTGCACAGTCTCTTGGCCAATTCGACAGAGAGAGGCTGTGTTTACCTCCCTCGCAGCTTGAGCCTGTGTCCCCGCGAAGGCCCCGGGCGGCATGCCTGCCCCTGCCAGAGGGGGGGTTGACATCGCTCCACGTTAACCAGTCCCACCGTGTCCAGCTGCACAAAGAAGACGGAACGATTAAGTACTTATTTGAGTCCACTATAACAAACGAACTTCTGCACGGTGGCTATACCAACCCTTTTCCCCCTACGGTCCTATCCAGGGTAAAACTGTCCAACTGACAGAGACGGCCCGGGCAGCGCTCCATGGAGCAGGACACCCCTGCTGGGCAGGGGAGCTGTGCTCCTCGCACCCCTTCCCTCAGAGCGGGCACCAGAGGTCCTTGCCGCGGTCTGTCTCCCGGGGACACGAAAGGGCCTTTTCCTCAGCTCCAGCGCATGAAAACCGCGGCCCCCGCTCCACTGCCCCGGCTCCACT